ATCTTTTCACTATTTTCATGTGAGCAGACTGTGAAGATGGCTGTTTGGCCATGCAATATTTTTGTACAAGAGTGTGACTTTTATAGTTTAAAGTTAACTACAAGCGTTAGCTCCTTTCCAAAACATCGAGGCTGCCTCACAACAGCTGCTAATTAGATTCGTCACCCGCAAAGGAATTTTGTTTCTAAAAACAAATTTCTTCTGTTTTTGTTTTTTAATACTTCGTAGGAAGAGTCAAGAGTTTAGTTTTGTGAATGTACAGTACTTTAACCTGCACTAAAAGGTTTCTTGCATCTGCGGGAGAGTGAGAAAGGCAAGGCAGACAAGTAACCCTAAAAACTTACTATGAGACTACCAAAAGGGTGGGGCAGCTGCTTTCTGAACTGGAAGCTGAATCAAAGTCATAATACCAATATTGGAATCAGAATAATTATGTCCACTGTACACTCACTAATGAGAGTTTGTCTGTGTTAGTCTCTTGTCCCAGAGGCTGTCTTACTGCCAACTAGGAATATGTGGAAGTGTTTGTTAGGTTTACAAATAGGAAGAAGTTTCATTAAAGTATTTTTACAAGGAGGGAAATCCATCACATACTAACTCGGGTATCAGAAGCCTTGTCGGTAAGGTAAACCCTTTCTGAAAAAGCAAAGCTCCTGACTAGAAGTCTTCAGCTATTTCAGTACAATTTATAATGTTTTTAAAACTCCGCAACTGTCCCTGCGTGCAGTTGAGGGTGCACATGTTTAACAAACAGGTGTGAAAGGCACCTTTCAGCTTTGCCTTAGGGCAGCAGCCTGCTAGGAGTAAGCATCAGCGTGGCTGCGTTCTGTTCCCAGCCCGGGGCGTCAGTGCGGCTCTGCAGGCAGCCCTGCCTCAGCAGAGCAGTCGGGGGGTCCGCTTCTGTGGCTGTGGTGGCAGGAGATGGACATGACCCAGAACAGAGTTATTTCATTTTCTACTTTATATGTTGCACTCAGATGTTTTTAATTCCCTGGCTAAAGTTTTCTTTCCCAAGCAACAAGCCACATATGCATAGACTTCATCTTTCAAACAGGCTATAATTAATTTGGTGAGAAAATGAAAGCAAATATAACTGCAATATGGTAGAGCTGTCTTAAATTCAAAGTGACAATTCTGTGATGAGAGGCTTGTGTAACACCCGAGGGTTTTCTTATGCACAAATACATCAGTTCACTTAAACGTAGAGCCAAACATGCTATTTTGGGCAAGATGACTGACTGAAAGCCCTGTAAGAACGCCCCATTTGTTTTGAGTATCTTTGTTTTGAGATAATTTTCATGTTTTAAAGGTCAAATTTAAAAAAAAAAAAATCTGGAATTATTTAATGTAGAGGTGAAATGAAGGTTGACAGTTTCAGCTTCTCAATTTAATTATGTAAGTTGTTTGTAGAATGATGTTTAGAGGTGTGCTTTATGATTTTTCTTTTATTTATTTACAGTCTTATTTATGTTCTGTTTAATATAGTTCAGTTCTGGCCATAAAAATATTTGACATTAAGGATGCTATTGTGAAAAATAGTTAGAGCTGTCTAAATTCTTGCCAGATTATTCTAGTACGTGAAAAGAACAAATAATATTTAAAAAAGTATTGTCTGATTTGTAAGCATGAGGTGAGGTCAAAAATATAAGTACTGCTGGCTTTAGCTTGCAAAACTCATTTAAAAATGAGAGACTTAAACATACTCATGCTCCTCATTTTCCCAATTGGTAAAAATGAATGTAGTTATAGGCAGCTTTTAACAATTCTGGGTTTGGAGTTCGGGGGTTTTGGGGTTTTTTTTACTAATACAGATTATTCACACTTGAAATGCTCAATACAGTAAGCTAAAATAATACACACAAATAAACCCCCATCCATTGAAAATTATAAATATTACTCTTGAAGTGGAATTTACTCTGCACAGCAGGGTGTAACGGATGTAATTAGTTCTCTTTCCAGGCAGCAATGTCATTGCAGTTGCATATAACAAAATCTAAATATTACTGGTACAAGAATATTTAGCCAAATGAGTGAAGTTTAGCAGAAATTGTAATAGAACACAAATCAAATAATTTGAAGATTTTTTTTTTTTTACTATTGCTATGTTTATACTGTATTAAATGTCAAATACTCAGGACTGAACTAAATATTTAATCAGGTTATATTCTGAATGTGTTTCTGTTCTAATTTTGTCAGTAAAAGTATGCAGGTACATCACATAGATTAACTTGTTTCTGCACTTTCCATGTGTTTCAGTGATTGGAAAATACATTTTTTTTTTTTTTTTTTTTTTAACAAAGGATCTTCCCAGACCAGTGTTTTACTTAATTCTTTTATTGCTGCTCTTCATCTTTACATGCTCTTTGCAGAAACAGATGGCTGCTACAGCTTTGTCAATGTAAAATCATTGAAATTTATAGAAAGCTCACATCAATAACTGACAAGTCTCAGGGTAAGTTATACCAAAACTGATTCATAGATTTGAAGTGAGTTCTTTACCTTTGTTCAGTGAAAACTGCAGTAGCCATGAGCACAGCCAGCTCTCCACTGGACAATGTCTCACTGTTGCTCAGAAACACTGGCTTTCCTGAGAGAAGGCGTGCAGGGACACACCCCGACCTCCTCTCTCGCTCGCTCGCAGATGATGGAGAGCTTGTATTACAGGATGTATTACATGAGATTATGTCTGAGAACATTGAGTGTACTGTAAACGATACAGGTCCAGGGAACTTCGTTCAAGGTTGTGCCGTGTTAGGTTTTTGTAGTACATGTTGAACTGACACTACAAACTGTTGCAGGACTTAAACTGATACTATTTTTACAAAAAAGACATTGTTTAAAGCAGCCCATTTAAGATTGTGAAGTCTCCATGTATGCCTAGAGATGAAAATTTTTTTACTAAAAAGAAAAAACTAAAATTACAAAAACAATATCTGCAATTGATCAGATTTTAGAGATAGCTCATCGCTTAATATAAATAAAATTGAAGTAGTGATTAAAGGAGCTACTCAGTAAGAAACAGTCCCCTACCCCAAATCGTGTAAACAGTGACCTGTCTGTTCAGCAGACCTTTCTTACTGTGGTGCATGAGCAAGAAATCTGAAAACCTTTTATCTACCCTTTTAAGGTCTTCTATTTCCAACTTCCAGATGTTGATGGGTGTCTTGCCTATCTGCCATTGCATACTGCTCTGGTTATTGATGGTCAGATGGTAAGCAGATGGTGGAGAGGAGTGGACATGCCCCTAGAATTCCAAACAGAAATCCACCAAACCAACCACTGCACTGTGCATCCCCTATTTTGCATCTAGGCAGAATCGCTGGCATGTCTTCATCCCCAGATTCTGGGATTATAGTATGAACAACTCAAGAAGTGGGGACTAAGGCCAGAACTCCAGACATCCACAGAAGTTACCCTCCAAGTAGTAACAGCTGTTTCTGTAGCTTCTGCTCTGTAGCCTCCATCTATAGGCAGTCCACACCAAGGCTAGAGATCACAAGGCTCTGAAGGCCCAGTCCATTTGATGGAGATACTAAAATCCTGGAGATCTTGAATTCTAGAGGCAAAGCTAGGAAAGAGTAAAAATCTTTACACTGTGTTACTATGTCTTGGACTGTACGGGTTTGCCAGAGTCCCATGGTCCAAAGCTCCAGTACATTGAAGTCTTAATTTGAGATTTTTCCAGTCTGGTAAATAGTTACAGGTACCAGTTAAAATCCATCTTGGTACAGACAACAGCAACCCAGCTAACTGCACGTCCAGTTTTAGCAGTCACAGAAGCCCTAAACTGCTCACTTGTGGATGCTGTTCTGCTCAATTCTTTGTCATACTGAACATAAGCAAAAGTTAAAACAATGATTTACAAAGCCTGAAATACTCCTCCCCTCCTGCTTTGTGTTGCCTGGCTCCATGTCCAGTGCTTGGGGGATAAGGAGGTAGTTGTGGTAAACCAGTAGCTGAAGTGTGGCCACAGCTGGGCTCACCTTTCAGTAGTTTGGGGTTTTCTTTTTAAGAAAAGCATATACTTGGCTTTCCAACAATCTGTAAGAATTCAACATATTCTTAGATTACAGCAGTTCTGCTGGTTTTGCCATCTCATAATGTTTAAATTAAGTGCTGACAGCACACTGGTACACTTCCACACATAACAAATGAAGCTGTCTACTCCCTGGCCAGTTAACTGTCTTTAAAGTCAACGGTTACACGTTCAGAACAACATCTTGCTGTGAGCGAACCTAGCTCAAAGAGCCTTTGATAGGATACATAATGTCAATTCCTGTACTAGAAGAAGATAGTGGAAGTATCTTCTAAAGCAGCATTTTTCAGACTATTTTTGGTGCATCGAGTATGCAGCTGCCAGAAACACCCAGAGTAACTTTTGTGGGGAGCTGAGTGTGCTAGACCAGGAGAACGCAGCTAATTCGTCGTGAAGCACCTACCTCCTAACGCCCCGTGCACAAAAGACATCGGCAAAGCTCGCTGGAATTTCCAGAGCCTACAGTTTTCCTAGCACAAAAATTTCCAAGTACACAGCAAAACAATTTGATGTAACCTGTGTATTTAGACTATTTAGGCTGTGAAAACAAATTTTGTATGTCACTGCATTAAGGCAAGTGGCAAACTGCAACAGAGTCAAGCACTGAGGCTCATTTAATTGGTTGCGTATGACAAGGAAACATATTTTGGTTAAAAGCCAAGCTCTAAGGGAACATGCATATTCATTTTCAGGATTTTATCGTGCAGTTGAGAAAGCAAAAGCACCTTTTCTGCACAGTCTGTGAAAACTTCATCACTCTGCTTTGAAACAAAGTCTTAAACGGTTCTGCAGGTGAGAAAACACACCACCTTCCAATGCCAGTTATTGAGAAAACAGACATAAGTTTAGGAAGTCAGCTAGGTAACAAAGAGTCCTTTGAGTTACTACTGGAACAACCTTCTGGCTTGCACTAGGGTTTGAAAAAGATAGGGCAGTCTTTCCATACTTCTTAAAGCTTTCTGTTTTAAGGCCCAGGTTCCGTTTCCAAGCGTTGACACTGATCTTGCTGCTTTGCTACTGTGTAATGGATCGAAGATGGATGGATCTCAGTTGAGCAGATTGTGCAATTAAGTAGGGATCCTCCTAATATAAGGCAAAATCCAGCAAACCAGCCAACAAATAATGCTTCCCCGAAATCCCACCTGGGAACAATCTCTGGTATATTCTCATCCCAGAATTCCTGGACTGTGGAATGGGCCACCCAAGAGACTGGGACTATAGCTGTAATCCCCGATATCCAGAAGAGCATTCCTCCAAACAGCAACAGCCGTTTCTTTTGTTCCTGTTGTCTTTCACCAATTTTCAAACAGTCCAACCCAAAGCCCGAGAACAAGAGGCCTAAAAGCCCCGATCCATTGGAAAAAAACATCAAAATCCTAGAAATCCTGAGCTCTGGAGGCAAAGCTAGGAAAGAATCGAAGTCCTTGCACTGCGTCCCCCCTTCTTCCTGGACAACGCAAGCTTGCCAGAGTCCCATGGTCCAGATCTCCAGCTCGTTCAGTTCCAAGTTAAGATTTTTCCACTGGGGTAAATAGGTGGTGAGACAGGACAGGACCCATCCCAACAGAGAGAGCAGTATGCCACTTAATTGCATCATTGGTCGATAGACCAAGGCCATTATAAGAGCAGAGTCCTAGAAGATTGAGGAGGAAGGTCTCCCCAGCCGTTCTGTAACAACCGCTACCTCGAGTGATGGTGGAAGCTATGAAGATCTTCGTTCTCTGCGGCCCCAAATATAAGCCCTTGCTATTAACCCTTTGTAGGCGCTGAAACCCTTTTTTGTTCTTCACGAATATAAAGTTACACGTAAAGGACGAAGGACTTCACTAAACCATGAGTTAGGCTTTCTGATAAGGATTTGATCTGTTACCTTCCAATTTGCTTGGTAAAATTATATCCCAATGCCCGATGATTACAAGCCCGAGGATGAACAAAGAGGGCTCTATGACCCCTCACCCTAAAACACAACAGAAATCTTTGTGCTTCAATACGGATTAATTAGATTTTAAGTGGTGATAAAAAGTCAGCTCTGTGTGCAACAGGACTTCATTGTAATAGCTAAATTTGAGATTTCAGGGATGGAAATCAAGGCCTTGTAAAGAAAGGTAGACTGTTTGCCTATAATCTTTATTCTTAGGCTTCCTCAACATACATAATGGCTTATCTTCCACTGCCCTGTTTTATGTCCCCAGCACTGTAAAAGACGCTTTGTAAAAGATCCTTATGTTTCACATTTTCTACATTCACTTCTTTTAAAATGGGCTTTGTTTTGACCGACTCTTTAAGGGGAAAAGGAGACGGCTATGGTGCAAGTACTGTAGCAAATGAAATCCTAGACATCCTTCCACCATAATGAACCCAGACAGATCACGGGCCAGCGTAAACTTTACCTGCCCCAAGACTTCAGCAACACCCTGGTAGCAGCTTACAGCAGCCCAGTGTCCCCTTTCCAAGAGCCCATGTCCCAGGTGGCACAGAGTGCATACACTTAGTGTCTAACAACATCTGGCACTCAATGCTTCCAGGGCCAGGCATGCCTCGTTCCTTTCTGATCAAAGCAAGATACCATTATGCCACTGCTCCTTTAGGAAACCCTGCTGCTTTCCTGCTCTCGTGTCAGTCAGCTACCCGTGTGCTTGGCTACAGGGTCAGCAAGGAGAACGCTTGTCTGCTATTCCCCCCCCCAACTGTAGCAGCACAGCCTGTACGGGAGGACACTGAGCAGTGTGAGCACACACACGACCCAGAGACGCTCTCCCGTCTTCCTTGATGTCATTTCCTAGACGTGCTCATGTATGTACCTGCATATTTTAATTCAGTTATTCAAAATGGGTTATCTGGTGATGGAAGAACGTAACACTGCTTTGGAAGATTTCCAAAAATCCTGAAGGGTATCTTTACGAAATTTCACTGTGAGAACATCTCTCCTTCCTCATTTCTGTACTGAGTCTTAACTCCTAACCCTTGTGCTTTTCCTGCCACAAGCTGTGAAGAGTCCCCACACAGCAAGACAATCCATCTCCCCTCTGCTCGTGCACCACCCCAGTCCGACAGCTTACACCGCGGTCAGAAGGTTACCATGCACAAGGGCAGGAATCACCAAGATATTATTGACAACACTGGGAACAGACTGATGCAAGGCTCTAACTTTGGCCATCCACTAGGCAAAAGAAGAAGGAAAAAGAACAACCCTGTGTCTATTCAAACACCAGATTGTATTTTCAGATTTGGCAGTGTCCTTTTTCTCCCCTTTCTCTGTTCAGAGCAAGAATGCTGGCTCTGGAAATCATCATAGCATTCAGCAAGAAACTCCATAATGCCATTTGAATAATCTCTCAGACAAATAACTATGCTTCAGAAGTGCTTCTGCTCACTCAGGGGCTACAGGCTTATTTGACTTTAAAATCATGGTCACTGCCAGACTATAAGCTGAAGCCTGTTGCACTTCTCTTGTCTCTGAAAATTTAACATTTTCTTTTCTGCCTTTAATTCCAGCAGTGTGAGAGCACAAAATCAGGAATGTGAAGTCCATTAATTTTGCTAATATTGACCACAGCTGGAAGCAGTGTGCCTACCTTTTCATTTTAGCCATCAGGAGCATTCAGACTGCTGCATCAGTAAGATCTGCCAATTAAGTTCGGCAACCTACTATTAAGCATGTACTCACTTAGAACAAGCAAAGCTTCCGTATACTATCCTGTGCAAGATCATAAAAGAATTGTTGTTTTTCTGGTGGGAGAATAAAAGCCCCCAAAACATAGGTAAGACTTGCCTTGTTGCCAGGATACTAAAATGGTCTGACATGCCTTTAATTGGAACTTACTGAACTTAGGAAAATCTCAGCAAACCCATAAACAAACAAAAAAAAGATCTTCCAGCTGAACTGAAATAATAAATTATTGGGTCAGTCACCATCTTAGCCCTATTTCCCTCATCCTTCTTCCACCTTTTCCTCCCCACCGTTATTTCTTTCTTTCTCTCACATCTAAAAATGTCTCATTCCCAGATAAATTTTATTTTGGTAGACTTATGCCCCCATGGAAGGCAATGTCAGAGTTACTGCAAAGCATAGAATTAGGGTCTCATCAGTTTCTGCCCTACTGCTCAGGGTAGTTTGAAACAACAGGGTGCACCGTTACATTGCGATGACAAAACACACCTGCCAACATCTGCACAGCCTGAAACAACAGATCACCTCAAGGTGTTTCAGCAGAGGTGGCCACTGCCCCCCAGGCAGGTGGGGCAGGGAAGCTGCCTGCCGGGGACCTCCCCTGCCAGTGCCTTGGGGTCTGTGCACAAGCGGGCTCCCCCAGGACAACTGCCCCTGCTGCCCTTGCCAGCCTCCGCAGCAGGGGCTGTGCTTCTCCAACACAAGCTTGTCAACATGAAGAGTGGGGACAGCTATCACTGCCCAGTGTGCTTTCAGGTAAGGAAGATGAAGATGAATTTTGAGGGGGTTTTGACTGGCTTGAGATAATTATTTTTTTTTCTATAGACTTTAAAGCCTGATGTATGTAACATTCAGGGACACTATCCTACAGAGGCTTAAAGCAGCTAAAATAATCTCGGTGTATAAGGAACTGAGCTACAGAGAAGAGAGACTTCTGGTCATTTTGCCAGTGCCTACCTCACGCAGGAGCCAGCAGGGACTCTCTGGAGCATCAGCCCCCCTGAAGCCAGGCACTTGCCATAGACACCCAGACTGGTACATCTCACACCCGCTGCTGGTGCCCGTTTCAGCTGCCAGCTCCGAGACACATGGAGCACAGACGACACCCATGAAGAATATAGCACAGGTTACCATTGGGTTCCTACAGTTTCAGTAACACAGTTTAAAGCATTGACGAGCACATCGTTCGTTCAAACTAACTCCAGGCATCGTTTTGCAAACTGGTTTTGACTAGATGAAAGCAGATTGGGGTTGGTCAGCACGCACCTCACTTTATGCAGGTAAATGCGTTACAGTTTTACTCCCTATAAAACCATTTTAGGCTGAACACCAGCATTCTGAATCTTACCACAAGCAATACAGATTTTCTTTAAAAGCTTTAAGCACCACACTAACTCTTCTGAGAACCTCCATGGCCACAGACAGATACACTACCACTTTAGCCCCTGCAGAGTATTAGGAAATTGTCTTTACACAGCTCTGCAGCCCACACAATTACCCAAATGTTTTATGTTCAGCATAAGCAGAAAGAAATATCAGGTACAGCACTCTGGGAGCCAATGAGGCAACCTAATCCCACAAAAGCAGTCTGTGTATTGCAAGAGACTGACTCACTCCTACACTTTCAGTTCCTTCAGGAGGCGTAAGCGTGTTCGTGTTGTGGGCTTGCTTGTTCTCCTCCAGCAGTTCAAAAGTGTGCTCACTTGTGAAGTACAACTGTCTCCAGTAACACTGCCAGACACTATCAATAATTTTTGCTAATCTGAAGATAGTCATGGAGTTCCCTAAATATTTCTTATTGATTCTTGAAAACACTAGATATTTAAATGAGCATTCACAGGTCTCTCTTTAAAGTCCCATCTTATAGACACATACACAGAAGATGGAAATGAACACGAGCATATAGATTTTCTATAACTGCCTCTTAGTTACAGCCAGTCAAACGTAGCTGCTATCAGAAGCTGGCCAGGTAGTGTCTTCAGCACCTTACTGCGTGTGAGTTAATTCATTCAGCTTGGCAGTCTCTTGCTTTCCACATTCCTCCTTGAACTGGAAGTTGTGGGAATTCGCTTTTTCTTACCCAATCAAGAAACCATTTTTTTGTGATGCTGGTGCACTGTTTGTTTTGCACATCCAGTGTGCCCTTCAGTAAAATCAACAGAAACATCACACAAAGAAAACCCATATTGCTGTCCATATTGATTTAATCTAGTGTGCAGTTAAGTGAACTTTGGCCAAAAATTTTTTTTTGTATTCATAGATCCTGAAGTTTCAGGGTGCTTCAGAGAGCATCACAGTGAAGAGAGGTTGACATCTCCCTGAATAATTACCTGTGTGACTCCAACCACTGAGAGGCACACTTAGCAACAGAGTGATCACAGGTATGTTCTGGCCTGCTAATGAAGTGGATGGATCTGAATTTTATCAATTACTAAAGTTATTATGGTGGTGGTTCTGTTTGATTTCTTCCTTGTTTCCCCCACTGAAATTACAGTACCAAGTGAGACACAGCATCGTGCAGCGCTGGAAGGGTAGGTGTCATGCCCATGTGAGAAGTCCAGTGTGAATCAGACTGACACAGCATCCACAAATGCTCCATATGCCAGCGTGTGAGCGGCACTGGTTGTTACACACCTCACTGCACCCAAGTGCAATCCACAGCAGCAACCCTTAATTCTGGACACTTAGAGGCCACTGTGAAAGCAGCAAAGAGAGGCACTATAGAGAGGAGTACACTGGTGAAGAAGATGACAATTTCCATTTTGGAATGAAAAAGAGAGTAACTTCTAAACACACACCTCCACACCCCATTAGCTCATGGTGTCATTACGCTTTCATAAAACATCTAACACAATATTTAGAGGTGATGACTTATGAGACTCCATTATTTGTTTCTGTATTACATCTGAAGATAGTGCCCCTCCATGAGTGCTAGGGCACTGCTAGAG